AAGGGAAAACAAAGTCATTTTGTCCTAATTTAGAGGTTATTTTACATTAGGAAAAAAAGGATAAAGGATAAAACCTAAATAGGTACAGAAAGTGAGGAAAGAGTGAGAGGTGAAGGGAGAAAAAAAGGGAGGGATTCTTATGCTGTGTAGTCAAGCTGGTAAACATTGAATTAAGTTACTGTAAAAGTTTTTAAAATAACCTTTAATAGCAATAGTGTGCCTGGGCAAAACCAAAATTTAATTTTTTCTCTCTCTGATAAAAGGACTAAGTTTTCTTGGATTATTGTAAAGATTTCCCTTTACCTGCTAAATAACTTGCCTGGGAAACAAGACTCTGTCTTATGGCAATAATGCCCTGTGTTTCATGTTATTTATTGGGTCTTTAATACCTTAAGAAAACCGAGTCTTCTCAGTATTCAAAGGGAAAAGGGTTTTTTCTCAAGTATATTACTTCTTGCATTTGCCTTTGAAATCTTTGTCATTTGGTTAAATTAAAACTAAGTATTGGTTTATAATAACCTGTGTTCCTGTTTAATCAGTGTTCAAACCTTCTGACATTTTTTTACAACTTCCCAAAAATCAAATTCTAAATGAAGTCCTCTTGACCTTGAACTGACTTTGAGATTTTGTAAAAGGCCTCTGGCAAAGATTTGTTCTCTGTCCTTATAAATAATGTTAAACTGCCCTGGCTGGTGTGGCTCAGTGGAGTGAGTGCTGGCCTGTGAACCAAAGGGTCACTGATTGGATTCCCAGTCAGGGCATGTGCCTGGGTTGCAGGCCAGGTCCCCAGTGGGGAACATGTGAGAGGCAGCCACACATTGATGTTTCTTGCCCTCTCTTTCTCCTTCATTTCCCCTCTCTCTGAAAATAAATAAATAAAACCTTTAAAAAGATGTTAAACTAATCAGGTTTATTTGATATGTTAAATTACATGGAAAACACTGTCAAATAAAAGTGATATTTAACAGTTCCTTGGGTTATCTTTGTATGGGTATATGTTATATAATAAAAGTGTTCCAGAAATTGTGTAAAATTTCTAGAAATCAGGTATGTCGTTGTATAATGTTGTCTGCTGTTATTCCAGTTATCATCTTACAACGCTGTATGTCACAGACATCACCAAAAAAGGGTTTTTTTGACAACTGCATTTAAACGAACTCCCATCAGGTCTTTAATCACACCATTTTAAGCCTTTAGTCCTAATCTTTCTCATCTAACACCCAATGTTAGAGTTACTCCCTGTTGAACTTTTCTAGCTATTTCTTCTAGTAGTTACCGCCATATATCTCAGGAGCATGTTTATTCTACTCTTTCTTGATTTTCAGTCACAAACATTTTCTTTTTATTTCCACCAAGGAAAATGAAAATTTAGCTGCCTCTCAATTCCTCTGCCATTGTTGTTACTCCTTAGGAGCAAGTAGTCAACTCACAGATGAGTGTAACATAACAGCGTAATTTGGTTGTTTCCATTCTTAAGTTTCTTGTTTTTTTCTTGGTACTTGTAATTGCCTTGTTTTTCTGTGTGCTTAGCTGTCCACGTACTTGTTCATGTATTAACTGTTACCCAGAGTCTCAGCCAGAGTGGTCAAAGCCCCCGCATAGGTTCAGACATTCCGGGCCATCTCCAAGTTAGGGTTCCCCATGAAGTCACATGCCGGGAGCCCCACTCCTCCTTGCTGCAGTCTGGATTGGTTGCTCTTAACCTGTAGCACAGCTGCCAATGTTGGATAACACTTCTCCATTCATCTGGGTAATTTCCTTCAGGTCCCTCCTGTGTTAGAACCCTGATTCCTTTCCCATTTGCTCTTTTTAAAAAGTGGAGCATGTCCTTTAGGGGTTTGCTGATAAAGGATACAAAGAGGCACAGTTTTTCTGTCCTGCCGTATTTTTTTCTTCCCTCCTCTCACACTTGACTCTTTGGCTGGATAAAGGATTCTAAGTTGAATAGCATTGTCCTTACATCTTAAATTTTCTTTTTATCCCTGGTGCTCTGAAATTTTATGATGATGTGCATTGCTATGAATTTTACTCCATACCATTGTACCAGGCACTTGGTGGTCTTTTTTATCTGGAAATCTGTGTCCTTCAGTTTTGTAGATTTATTTTGTAATTCCTTTTCCTCTGTATTTCCTTTTAGGAATTCCTATCAATTGACTGTTGGATTGCTTTAGTCTCTAATTCTCTCAGTTTTCTCTCCTGGTTTTTTTTTAAATCTTTTTATTCTGTTTCTGGGAATATATCTCAAATTTATTTCAACTCTTCTAGTAAATGTTTAGATCATCTAAGGGGCTCCTTTTCTATTCTCTGAATATTTCTTTATTACAGCATCTTGGTTGTTCTGTGGATAAGACGTTTCATCACTTTCCTGAGATACTCATTGTAGTTTATATTTATTTTGTTTAGCCCCCCCCCCCCCCCGCCCCCCCCCCCACCGTGTGTTCTGAGTCCCTGATCTCTAAGTACATACTTTGAGCTGTTGTTCACCTTGGGGCTGTTATCAAATATCTGGCCATCTTTACTGATTGTGTTTGTTTAAGAGTTAAGCATTAAGAAGCTTAGTGGAAAATCTTCGAGCTTGAGTGGATCTCACCACCAGCAACTGGACGAGACTAGCTATTTCACTGTGTGCCTCAAATATTGGTATATGTAGGCCCTTTCTCCAGGTTCACACATTTATCTAAGAAAGGGATCATCCCAGCTCCTCCCTGGGAGGTAATGTCGGCACCTCCCAGGTAATGAGAAATCAAGGAGCTCAGTAGGGGCAGGTTGAGAGCTAGGGGACTGGCTTGCTGCTCCAGAATTTACTTATCTCCTGGCCTTCATAATGTCATTGTGCCCTCCTGCCTTTAGCTGTGGCTGTGACCCAAGTCCACGGTCTTTCTGGCTCATCCTCCCACAGAGAACACGCCCATCCTTCTTCAGGGATTTGGCAAGGAGCAGTGATCTGGTGTCCCGGCCAGCAGCAGGAGATCTGGGAGTGTGACAACTCTCTATGTGCACTTCTCACCAGTAATCCTGTTTATAGCATCGCTCTGCCACTCTGCCTTCTGAGTTGGTCACTACTCTGTTCTAGGTTCTTACTGATTTTTCCTTCTGCAGACACTTAGTGTCATCTCTCTTCATTGCGCTGTTACTCCTCCTCCACCCCCTTCCATATTACAACATTTTGGCATTTCTCATCTATTGTTATCTGGCCTTCTATTCCTTTGCCCTTTAAAAACTTGTTTTGTTGCTATCTTATTGGGATTTGGGGAGGGAGCAAACATAAACCTATGTATCCACCCCACCACATTTAACAGAGGTCCTATAGCACATTCTTCAGAATATCTTAAACGCTTGATTTTTTTTTCTTTTAAGGATTATTTTAGTTTGGGTGATTAGTCAAAATTCTGACAGATTGTTGGTCAAATTCCCTTTTCCAGGCCTGAAGTCCCCAATATACCATATTCATTATTTTTTCTCTAACATGGGAAACAAATAAGAATCAATTATGACTATTGTCTATTATAATGCAACAAAATAATCTGGGATGTAGAAACACCTTTCCCCCAAAGATAAAATGCATCTATTGTAACAAATAAAAAAGACAGTACATACAAAACTTCTGGGGAAAGAAATCTCTGTGCCAAAATCATGCTTTCTTGTTCTTTTAAGTAACTTACTCATTACACTTACCTCAAATGATATAATAGAGTTCTAGTTGAATGTTTTCACTGCCCATAACTTCAGCTGCAGGAGAAATAACTTAAGGGAATCAAAATGCCCTCCCCCCTTTGAAGTGGTTACACAGTATCACAGTATGAGGAGGTTCTGGACGGCGAGCAAATGCTCCCTTATTGCACCACACCAAACACGAGTCCGTTAAGATGTATAGTAAGATAAATTAGTCCTTCAGAGGAAGGATGAAACCAGCCTGCACAATTACTAGGTGTTCTTTAGCACTGACTTGGGAAGAATAGAAAGAGAACCAAAGATGACTTCTTTTAATGGGTTTCTCTCTCTTTGGGTCCTGAAAATATATCTAATTATTTATTATTAAAGAATTAAAATTAGGCCTTCCCTAAAAAAAGGAGTTCTTAACTTTTAAAAAAATATTTTATTTTTAGAGAGAGGGGAAGAGAAGGAGAAAGAGTGGGAGAGAAACATCAATGTGTGGTTGCCTCTCATGTGTCCCCAATAGGGACCTGGCCCACAACCCAGGCATGCGCCCTGACTGGGAATCGAACCAGCAACCCTTTGTTTCAGAGGCCCGTGCTCCATCCACTGAGCTACACCAGCCAGGGCTTAACTTTTTATTAAATCACAAGAATCAAGTAGTCTTTTAGAATCAAACTAGTGAATGATCGCAGAGCCAACAGGAGCAGACTGCAATTGACAAATAAGGGTAACTACAAAATGATGACAGTTTGCATGGCTCAGAATCCTTTATAAGCAGATACAGAAGCACAACATCTTTTGAGTTCTGCCAGCATAGATTTTTAAATTGCACAGCATCCTCTGACGACCATTTTTAAAGGTAGCAGGTAATTGAGAATACATGTTTAGGTATTGCAGGAGAATAAAAAATCTTTTGTTCTTAAAAAAATTATTTTCTGCCTGGCTGGTGTAACTCAGTGGATTAAGCACGGACCTGCGAACCAAAGGATCATGGTTCCATTCCCAGCCAAGGCACATGCCAGGGTTGCAGGCCAGTTCCCAGTAGGGAATGCACGAGGGCAACCATACATTGATATTTCTCTCCCTCTCTCCTTCCCTTACCCTCTAAAGATAAATAAAATCTATTTAAAAAAATTATTTTCTAGAACATCTAGACTTCTTGTTTATTATGTTAAACAAAGAGTCATTTAAAAGCTATAAAAAAAACCTTCATTAGTTCATGTAGTCTTGTGTAATTAATTCTTATTCTGCTATATAAAAAGTAACCCAAGAGAATATCTCAGTACAATGCTGTTTTGGTAGAATTGTTTTTATTGCATAATTTCCTTTTTTAAAGACTGAAATAAGCTCTTATAAGAATAGCATTATAGTTCTCGGAATAAAACACAAGTTGCCAAGGTCCTGGAACACTAGTCTCATGCAAGCTTTTGTCCAGGAGACCAGGTCCATTGCGGGGGGAGGAAGAATTGGGGAGGAGGTTCACTGAGGCCGTGGTATTGAGGAAGTGAATTTGGCTAGATCTAGCATGACAGATCTTTGGACTTCCTGGTTCGAAGGGTGTCAGGGCCTGCATCCCACTTCCCTATGGGGTCGAGACCCATGGCAAGGGGTCTCTTGGAGGGCACGTAGCTGCTGGGAGAATTGAACACTAACTCTCCTGCCTCAGGACTCCCTGAATCTCAGAAAAGGAGCGTCCTGCCTTTGAACGAATGGCAACAGCTTGCTTGGGCAGTGACCCCTGTATGAACAGCTCTGGTGTGACCATGATGGACCGAAGCTCTAAGGTCTTCCTCGAGTTTTCAGGACTTTGTAGCTCCTGGGCAGCTCCACATGTGTTAAAACAGGATCAGCTAAAGAAGCTGAAAAAGATTCCTTGCCTCACCACTCGGGGAATTAGGGCTTAGAGTTAAATTTTGTTTGATTTAGAAAAATAAAGCAAAGTGATGTTTCTTGTGCCCATTTATGGTATGGCAAATTCATACCTACTCCATTGCTGATCTAGACTATTTGATTTAGACTTGCCTGCTCTGATCAGAATGTGGTTGGAGCGCATGAAGGAAGGGGTGTCTGGAGTCCTAGAGATGAAACTGCTTTCCTGAAATGACTCTCTGGTTCCATGATTTGGGTCACCACTAACCCCAGAGGTAAGCCTAGGTGTTTTGGTTTTCAGTGACCCAGAAAATTGGGACAGACCTCTCCGTCTTCACAGTCTTGTTTCACTATGATTCGTGCCATCGCTGTTTTTGTGGTTGTTTCGGCAATCCTGGTTTCTCCATTAGTATGAAATCATTAAAATCTCTTTGTATTAGTTTATGAGGAATATGAAAAACTGTACGAAACAAAGTAGGCTTCAAAAATAACGAACACTGGCCAATTAAAGTTGCGTTGTTGGAAGGAGGCGTGGGCATGGGTTTTGTCAAAGAGCAGAAATAATCACTTGCCATTGAAGTGGTTCCCCTTTTTTTTAGGTTTCAAATGTACTTGCTTTCTTCAATCATGCCATATTTTAATGGGTATACAGTGCTTTCACTTGGCATCAATTAGGAGTTGGTTTTGACACAATTCATTAGTACACCAGCTGGGATGATTACTGATCTCCCCACTCCTTTAGGGTGACTCTGCCAGTAGGGGACAGGTTCCGTTCTACTCCAACTTGTGTTGCTATATATGCCCATGTAACAACACAGAAAGTCACCCTCATAGCTAATAGAGTGTTGCCATATTTGTCATGGAAAGCAGGTGTTTGTTTCTGGTGGGTCTGCCTCGCCGTTACTTGCCGAATGCTTTGAACTGGGAAAAGACCTAGTGTGTATTTGGCCAATGGAAACATCGTGAAGCTGAAGACAGAATTGCAGCAACTGCAACTGCTGGTTTGTTGGAACTTCATGTCAAGTACCCTTGCAAAGAACCTCCATTTCTTTGAAGCCATTAAGAACCTTGGGAGACCATGGTCAGGGCAGCTGCACTGGTTCTGCCCCTGAAGAGTTTGGCTCAGGGATGCAGAGAACCAGTGTCATCTCCGCTGTGGCAGCATGGCTCCCAGGAGACTATGCAGAGGTGAGCGAGTTGGGAGGGTGGCAGCCAAGGGTAGAGGACAAACAACACCTTCCTGCTTTCCAGGGGCTGAGAGGTGAAGGTGAAGTAATTTCTCACCCAACTAGTGGAGCTGCTACCCTTCACTGGGCTGTGTAACAGCCTTGGAAACGACCAGCGGTCCTAGCAGCTGCTCCCTGCAGGTCCGGCAGAGGCAGGGTGACTTCCTGGAGGAACATTTCCTGCCCGAGAAGCAGGGCTCGACCCCAATCCGAAAGTGCAGTTTTGATGGCCCCTCAGGTGCATGGGATGCTGGAGGGTAAATAATTTGGGTTTGACTAGTCCAGACTAGCGTATTTTTTCCCCAAGCATTAGTGATCACTTTCTTTTCTTTCAGCTCTCAATATCCCTGTAATTTAAACTCCTGCTCTTTGCAAAATAGCAAGATAATTTCTTTCCTGGGTGTCCTGACACCATCCAAACTCCAGAAGTCATCTAACTTGTGCACTTAACTTACTGTGTGGTCTTGCTGCTGTTGACTTTTGAGTCAGGTAACTAACCGGTTCATACCTAGAGGAAATAATACAAGTTAACATGCACCAAAGGAATGATTTCTACTGTAGTGCCAATCAGTACTGTGCTACTGAGTCTCTAGCAAGAGGTACACATACTGTGTTTGAAGGCCGTCACTCAACCACTAAGCCTGATGAACAGCACTAGCCTAGTAAAATGTGCATGTGCTGTCCTACCAGTTACAGAGATTTTACCCTGCCTGCCACTTCCACGCACTCGCCCTCTTCTCTGCCTCAACTCCTGCTGTCTGCTCAGTCTGCTGTGCAGAACTGAGGGAAGCTCCATCTAGGATGCCTGGTAAAAACCGGCAAGAGGAATGAGGTTGCAGGACTGAGCAGAGCAGGGTGATTTGAAATGTGATTCCCAAGAAAATGGGGAACTATTCCTCAGTAAAAAACTGGAGAGTAACAGGATTAAAAGCTTTAAAAAAAATCTCCCTAGTCCTAGCTAGTGTGGTTCAGCTGGTTGGAGTGTCGTCCCATAATCCACAAGGTTGTGAGTTTGATTTCCAATAACGGCACGTGGCTAGGTTGTGGGGATTCAGTCCACAGTCAGGACATGTATGAGAAGGCAACTGCTCTCCAAAATCAATAATCATGTCCTTCGGTGAGGATTAAAATAAAAGAATCATCCTAGATTGCAGATTGGATTTGGGGACTGCAGGTGATGGTATGGTGTGGAGAAAACCCTGGGGTCCAAGAGATATTTAGGAGGTTTGACTCATCAAGATTGGTGATCACCCAGAGATAAAGGAAAAAGGAAAGGTAAATCATACTAGTTTTGTTTATTGAATGCTTACAAAGTGTCAGTCACTTAATACACATTACCTATAATTCTTACAGGGGTCTTATAGGTAGGCACTATTTCCATTTACAGATGTAAAAAAATACGTGCCCCAGAGAAAAAAGTTACTTGCCCAAAGAAATATAACCAGTGAGTGGTGAAGCTGGAGTTCAGGTTCAGGCCCACTGTGGGGTCTCTTCTGTGCACTCGCTACGTTAGCTCCTAAAAATTGAAGTGAAAGGCAAGAAACTCTATTGACATGCTATAACTTCTTTGTCTGCCTCTTATCTGAATTTATTTCCTGGTGTAGTTGTGCAACCCCTTTTTTATATATTTTATTTCAAAAGTGTGGGTTTTCTCTAGGAGGTTGCTCTAACACCAAGCAATGCCGTTGAACAGTTGGAAACTATTTTAAAAATCACTATGTTGGTGTGTGAGCAAGCAATAAAATAATTCTGGGTGGCTTTGATTTCTTTATGAATACTTTCTGAACACTCTGTTACTTCCATTATCTTTAAGCTTCCGGAGTCAGTAGAACTTTGGCTGGATCTCACATCCCCTTTTCATGTTTGAAACAAATGTTTTCCTTCCCACTTTGGTCAGGTTACAAAAATCCTTTCTCAATTTATACAATCATTGGACATTTGACATTGAGAAATGATAATGAAATGGCTAACTGATTTTTCAAACATGTGATGAAATGCAACTTTGTTTGCAAATAGGTGGAAATGTTCCTGTTTTAATTTCCTCTTTTCAAAGGAGTTTTCTAATTTCATTTCTTTTTTTTTAAATTTATTTATTTATCTTTAGAGGGGAAGGGAAGGAGAAAGGGAGAGAAACATCAATGTATGGTTGCCTCTAGTGCATCCTCTGCAGGGAACTGGCCTGCAGGGAACCGGCCTGCAATCCAGGCATGTGCCCTGACTGGGAATCGAACTGCGATTGTCTGGTTCACAGGCCTGTGCTCAATCCACTGAGCCACACCAGCCAGGGCCATTTCTTTATGGAGTAAGAGCTTTAGGTGTGTTCTCTACGCTCTTTTCATTTGTGCCAATGCAACTGCATGTTTGTTACCCTTCTTTTCATTGAACTAGAAATCAGTGATTTTAATCTTTAAATTACCGCTGATAATGTCACAAAATGTTGGAGGAGAGACAAAATTGTTGAAAATAAAGGAATAAGATCATATACGCAGGTTGTATTTTCTCCCTCTCAACAAACAGAAACTTTATTGCTACCCTTGACAATATGATAATATGCTTAACCTCTCAGTAACAATAATTGATACATACACATTTCATTGCAGTTGATGCTATTCTCCCTGTTGTCATCACTCCAAGCTGTTTGGGATGCAGCCGCACTATCTTCCCTCCTCTCCCCCTCCCCCCCCCCCGCACCCTCCCCACCCCACCTCAAGTCAGTATTGTAGCTTTGTAAGGTGGCTGACTGCTGGTACGGGAACGGAATGGTCTAGTTCCAAGTCAAACAGGATCTGAGCTCACAAACACAGCGCCCCTCACACACGGGCCTAACAAGGACCTTACCCGAAGATGACGGGACTGGTGTCAGTTTCACACACATGTATTTTGGAAAATAGTTTCCTTACAGCTGCTTTAAAACGACTTTCATTTAAAGAGGAAATTAGACTGGTAAACTAACCGCTTAAAAAAATGAATGGATGTTCCCACATCTGGCAAGTTAAAGATATTTTCAAGTTTTTAAAAAAGTGTGTTATATTCTACAATAGAAAAGTTCACACACACACACACACACACACAAGTACCAATTTTGGAGATAAAAATAAACCTAAACACTTAAAATATCTTCCTCATGTAAGAAATTCAATCACACTTCACGATATCCTCTGTATTGTGGTATATGGCATTTGGTGTGGACCTGAGTTTCACGGGGGGACTACTGACATGGCCTTCTGAGTAGCCTCTTTACCCCCAATTTCTCTCTCCTCCGACCTCCTCTGCACCCACAGCACACGGCCCTGAACTCAGGGCACTCAGTGATTATAACGCACATATGTCAATCGCATGATTATTTGACTGTCAGTCATTGTGGTTTACTGTGACAATGTCCTTATATCTGTCATTATGAGCTCTTTGAGGGCTGATATTCCTTTCAAGCTATTCCTCTACTTTCTCAGTGAGAAACACCCTCACATGTACAATGTAGACCTTCAAAAAATTGATAAATTCATGGTGTACAAAGATGCATTTCACCTACAGTTAAGGTGTTACTCTCCTCTCTTGAGCGCTTGTGTTAAAATAAGATTCTTCCCTGGCTGGTGTGGCTCAGTGGATTGAGCACCAGCCTGTGAACCAAAGGATCACTGGTTCAGTTCCCTGTCAGGGCACATGCCTGGGTTATGGACCAGGTAAGGTCCCCAGTGGGGGAAGGGGCACATGAGAGGTCACAACACATTGATGTTTCTCTCCCTCTCTTTCTCCCTTTCTTCCAGTCTGTCTAAAAAAATCAAATCTTTAAAAAAAAAAGATTCTTACATTACAAATGACACCAAGAAATCTCCACAAAGTTACATGCAGAAAACAACCACAATTGTGGAAGGATGTGTTTCTCAAACATTAGAGAACAATTACAAATGATAGCCTAGAGTTTTTTTTTTAAAGATTTCATGTATTTATCTTTAAAGGGGAAGAGAAAGAGAGAGGGAGAGAAATATCAATGTATGGTTGCCTCTCGTGCATCCTCTCCTGGGAACTGGCCTGCAACCCAGGCATGTGACCTGACTGGGAATCGAACTGCGATCATGTGGTTTGCAGGCTGCACTCAATCCACTGAGCTACACCAGCCAGGGTGATAGCCTAGAATTTTAAACAGAGAGAGGATAATTTTCTACTGAAACTTAACTCGGACGTCTACAATAAATTAGATATAAGGCCACGTGTTCAAGACACAGGATTCCTCGTGCTAATGTAGGTAAAAAAAATTTTGAAGGTATAATTTAATACTTCATTTATAGTTAGGGGAAAATCTTTTCTACTTCAATTGCCAAGAAATTATCTATGAGTAATTATATATAGAAAAAGGTCTTGTGTGATAACTAGCTATAAAGCTTAGGAATTTGCCCATTAATTAATGCAATAAATAATACAAGTTGATTGAATATCTTCTCTATAAGAGGCACTGTATTAACACTGAGGATGATCCTAAAGTGAAAAAACATGATTGTTTCCTCTGCAAGACCTGCAAACCAGCCCTCACTGATGTTGTTCAGTGGATTGAGCACAGACCTGTGAACCAAAGGGTTGCTGTTTCAATTCCCAGTCTGGGCACATGCCTCGGTTGCAGGTTCAGTCCCCCAGTTGGGGACAAATGAGAGTCAACCACACATTGATGTTTCTCTCCCTCTCTTTCTCTCTTCCTGTCCCTCTCTCTAAAAATAAATTTAAAAAAATTTTTTTAAAAAGACCTGCAAACCAACAACTACCACCCAGTGTAATGGCTGCATTGATGCTGGTGTGTAGAAAGTGCCGGTGGCATGTGCAGGGAACCTGAGCCTGTGGGGAGGAGACAGTGTAGCATCCCAACTGAATAAGAGGAAAAATAGGGTTTTGCCTGGTGGGCAGTTGGGGTAGGAGCCTTGCAGTGGAAACTTCTAATGCTCCAGCTCATGTCTGCTCGTCTCTCCTTTCAGGCACAGGGGAGGGTTATATCTCCCCACTCCCTTGTTGGCAGGCGCAGCCACGCAATGAACTCTGGTCAATGAGCTATGGGCAAAAATGACTTGTTTCACTTCCAAGCTGAAGCATTTAATTGCTGGTAGAAAACCCTCTGGTGCCCTTTGTCTGCTTTGGCAACTGGTAAAGTTGGGCGTGTCAGCCGGGGCAGACCCCTGATGGTGGGACCTCTGTGAGCCCGGGTGCCTGAGAGACCGTGCAGGAGACCACCTGCTGAAGCATGACAGACACTGTGCATGGGTGAGGACAAAATCGTGTGTCAAGACACAGAAATTTTGGGATTGTTTTATTCCAGCATTTCATATAGAGGTAAAATGTATTTTAAAATAAAAGAAAGGGAGAATAGACAAATCTCCTGTTTAAAAGAATTGCACATAATTTACACAGACACTGCCCTCAAGGAAATGGAGTATAACACCCCACTCCTTAAGTGTG